CTTATGCCTACCGAACCACGGACTACAAGTGATGGTAACCCGACCCAATAGACTGGAGATCCCAAGAAATGGGTTCAATGGGTAATAACAAGTCATGAGTAGTATGCGAAAAGTTCATGCATAATGAAGCATGAATCCCAAAGCAATGGAGGTTGAGTTAATAACTCTTAATGAGATCTATACCCTATGTGGGGTGGAGTACTTTACTTTGGGGGTACTCCTGATAGACTCACCTATGTGAATGTGGAAGTGGGGCCGCTCCCTATGGAACTTTGAGAGGCACAAAGTTGCTAGAGCGTTCACTAAACCAGGGTAACGTGCAAGGCCATAAACGCACGGGCTAAGAAGAGAACACAACTCAATGAAAAGATCCGGTGTGCTACACTGTCTGAGATAGGGTTCAAGACTACGAGTCACCCTTATGAAATCGGAAGTGTAAACACTACGCTAAGGTTCAAATCTTCGCGATACCTTAGCTTATGCCCGATCTTATGGAACTGTTGATGCTCAGAGATAGTTTCAAAACTATTCAAGTGGGGGATTGTTGGAAATGTGTATGAATAGCTTTGAAAGCTATAGAGTCTCAAGTGGAAAAACTACCACATTGGTAGTTTTACTTGGTGAAGTGATTATAAAGATAGGAGCCTCTCTCCTAAGGGCATGCCCCTTGGGGTGACCCACTTTTGTGGGAGAGGGAGGACCTAACGGACCACCACACACGCGCGCGCCGTCCGTCCGTCCGACCGGCCGGTCGGTCGGTTGGTTGGATGGATGGATGGATCACTTGAGACTATATACATATTTTTTGGAGAAATTCCGAACGTAATTAATTATTAATCGGTTACTCTGAGGAATATTCCAAGGGATAATCGATTGAAAAGGAATATTCGAAGGATAATCTCCGCAGGATTTATCCTAACCGACGGTTTTAATTAAGGAAGTAATTATCTTCCTTAATTAATCCGACTTATTCCCCAAGCAAGAGGGTATATTCCTAGGGGTTCGGTTCCTATAAATAGCCGCCTCCCCAGCCCCTCTAAACACAACAACAACGAGCATAAACACAATAGAGAGAGTGTTCAGAGAGCTCCGGTTTTCGCACAAAACCGCGAGTACACAGAGGAGCTGTTTTATCCTGGAGACGACCGGTTGATAGTCTGCCGTGCGCATCGAGGGCAGTGCCGCGAACGTCTTAAAGAAAGCGACCTAGTCCGCGACTCAGCTCCAGATTCGGTATCCTCATCTTGTTGTTGTTCCGTTTCTAACAGGTTCTAGTTCTTTTTGTATATGAAGGAGCCTGTTCTGTACTCCACTCCAATCCAATTGCTTCTCATTTTCATGTCAAAACTAGTCTGTATATGTCTTTCTGCCTGTATCATTTTTAGTGAGACACCTCTCTCTTATAAGGGCTGGCGCCTGGCAAGGCCACGTCGATGATGCACCTCCGATTTGTGACATGCAGTACACCATATTCGTTTGTAAATGGTTTACAAATGTTAATAATGTACTTGAAATTTAGGGTGTTGTATACACATACTCTCTGTTTAATGGAGGAAGCTCAATCAAATGCGACCTCTGCAATAGCCCAAAAGAAGAAGAGCTGAACGCCAATTGTAGTGGTCTTGGGTAGTAGCTTATGGAACCATTATATTGGACTTGGGCAAGCTGAAGCGGGCCTTGATTCCTTCCAAGGCTCCATTTTAAATTCCGGGTTAGAAGTTAAAATGGGTTGGGCTTTCGTTGATCCACTAAGAACATAGTTTGCTGGTACTGTAGGAAGTAGGAGGCTAGGAGCATAGCTCAAGAAACCAAACCATAGCCATGTTTGGACTGATGAATGGAAACAAAGAGACAAAAACCAGCAACCTCGGTTCTGTCATTCTTTAATACACATCGTTACTTGCATTCACATCTCGGTATGAAAGCTGGACTTCGTACTTGTCGCATAACAATAGAATAGAATTAACATCTTTGGATGTGTATGGGGGGGAGTTCAAGACACAACAAGGAACAAACAGAAAAGGCAGCAGATAACCAAGTGAATCAAACTCTCAAATCACAGAAAAATTTGTTGCTCATCATGTTAACTCGTGTTCCTAATAGATCAGAACGGACTATGATGTTGGCCTGATACTAATACCGGTAAACGACCCAGCATTAGATTCGTGATAACTCATATTTTATCTATGAAAGCAGACCACGGATTGTAAAATATCTCCTCAAATAGATGAAGCTACTATTAAAGAAATGAAGAAACAGAACATCCTAAGCTACTAATCGTATCTTGATTCGTCCAAAGGAAAACAAATCTGCCGTCCTTCCTCTAGGCTGAATATTGTTGTCGTCTTGGAATGCATCGCCATTCCCATCTGTATTCCCCCTTTTGGCTTTTGCAGGCTTCTTTCTCCCTGGCTCCTCCTATCACTATTTGTATCTCAGCAAACCAACCCATTCTTCTTCCTCCTCCTCCTCTGTCTTTCGCTCTCTGTCAATCCGACAGTACTACATTTCATTTTTACAGGTGGGGTTGTTTTGATCATTTGAGTCGATCGAGGAAGAAAGAGATGGCGGATTGGGGGCCGGTGCTGATCGCGACGATCCTGTTCGTCATACTGACGCCAGGGCTGCTCTGCCAGATCCCTGGAAACGGAAAGGTGATTGGTCTCTGCAACTTCCAGACCAGTCCGGTTTCTATTTTGGTCCACACCATCATCTTCTTTGGTCTCATCACCATCTTCCTCATCGCCGTGGGAGTCCACATCTACACTGGTTGATTGAAGTCTGAAGATGATCTCCAAAGGTCAAACTCAGGATGGATGGATTGTAGTCCATTATTATAGAGACCAATCACTTGAGATCCTGGTGCACTTATGGCTTCTTCAGAAGTAAATTTTGGGGGGGAAGAGATGCTGATGTTATTGTTATGCCTCGTTGAATTTCTTGCTTGCATTTCTACTAGTGGTGTTTGGCTTTTTTTTTTCCATGTCGTCTCTCCCCTCCCTTCCTTCCATGGCTATTGGCTTGTATCCTTATTTGTATTAAGTGTATGGTGTCATTCATGTGATTTTAGTGGAGGTTATGAGTAATTATTTGCACAACGAATTATGGCAATGGGAAAAATTTAGATGGATTAAATTATTAAAATGCGGTTGTTGGATTGAGAAAATTTAAGAAAGATATTGTGTTGATTCTGTCCTTCCAACGATAACTTGATATTACATTAAAAGAATTCATTTTAAATTCTAAATTTTGAATTCTATGGAATTAGAACTAGTTATAGCAATTCCGAGGAATTTAGTTGGAATTTTCAAATGAATTCCACAAATATTTACTAATTATAATAAAATGACATAGTTATCCTCTTTTATTAACTAAATTACTTATACATATGACATACCAAACACAAAAATTCATTTGACAACGAATTCGTCACTGCAATTCGTTTTATTTCTAACGATTTGAATATGACATATCAAACACAAGATTTCATTTAACAATGAATTTTACACGGTAATTCATTTTACAATGAAATTAATTCTCGATTCAATTGGTACCAAACGGTCTGTAAAAAAAAAGTTGAAACGTTGAAAATTTCATAATTCCGTCAATATAAATTCACCATTATATTCCAAACATTAAAATCAATTAGATGTTTTTCACTTGATGAACTTAAACACAATTCGGCCGCTTAAATTTGTTTTGTCTAAATGAACCTAAACTATTCCACAATCATAAAATTGGAAATTGTGACCAAACTTCCTATCTGAAGCAGATAAGTTATTCCCAAGGTTGTCAACCCGCGAGTTGACCCGGACCCGGTTGAGCTAGTGGGTCAAGAGTTAATGGGTCATCCGTTTTAGCCCGGAAATATGAAAAGCGTCATTATATTGTATCCTGATAAATTATATCAAATCTCATCTAACATATGAGTTATAACTTATAATATTATACCAAAATAACATTTCGTACTTAGATTCAACATATAGTGAAAATTCACACACACTTATATAACATTAATATTCAAATGTTCAATTTAGGATTCCAAAGATTGAGTTAGGCGAAAAGAAAAATCGGAAAATAGGCGCATTGCGCAAAACAAAGAAAAAAATGACACAATTTGACCTCCAACCCGGTACCTTGTGGCGGTTGACCCGACGGGTACGTGCGGCCCGTTTTTCTCACCGGGTCAGGGTCAAAGTGGGTCAACCCACGGATCAACCCGCGGGTTGACAACCTTGGTTATTCCACAATCAATTAGATAACGCTTATTGGCTGAAATTGGGCCGACCTGCTAGCGATGGGCTCTTAGATGTTTTGAGCCCAACAGTAAAGACTTGAGGGAGGCGGCATTCAGCTATTATGATTAGGCCACTCCTCGGGTCGTCGAGGATTGGTTCGTTTGGCGGGCTAAAGCCGGTTGGTTGCAGCTTTTTCTAATTGATTTATATTATACCAACTGCGGCCTCCGATGCATGGGAAAGGCGTAATAAGCCAACAAGTCGGTCGGGAACTGGAAGCTTTTGGTTTAATGCATTGGCATGTGCTGCTGCTGTTTCGGTCCTCGGACTCCTTAAAATGGCGCAACCCACGGCCAGGCGCCACGAGGACAAAATAAAAAGTAGTTTTAAGACAAGTTAGGATGGAAATCGAACCGAACGCGTACTCATCCATGTAAGTTGAAATTCAGTCTTCGGACTCCTTAGCGCAGCCCAAAATACTTTTAAACTACACTATCTACAATAAAAACTTAATTGATCACATAACAACTTTATACACATGACATACACCACTTCCCTTACATACATATATAACCAATGTAGTCAAAAGCGTGTTTCTTTGTTGAAGCATTTTAGTGATCTGGAAGCGTAAAATCGTAAGTTTTTAAGCTTTAAAAAGCGTTTTTAACTACATCAGCTATAAGAACTGTGATCTTACATAGAAGCGTTTTGATGACCTAAAAACATAAAAAAAAAAAATTGATTTTTAAACTTTAAAACGCAATTTTGACTACATTGCATATAACAATACCAAATACATCATACATATAATACTTCAATAATAGTACACAGTTTTATTACAATTGAAAGCCCACAATTCCAAGGTGGGACTTTTCAGACCTGCGACGTGGCAATGTCAGCCACATGTGGCACACCTTTTTCTTACACATCATATATACCATGGACAGCAGCAAGCAGGTACCGCTGCTGTTTGCCATCTTTTTTGCCCCACAAATCTCTTTATTCACTTGTAGAAGTACACACCCCAAGGCAGGGCGGCTGGGGCTTATGTCACGCACTCAAAATCGCAAAACTATTAGGGGAAAATAGTACAAATACCATCAACCTTTCTTTTGATGGGGGATTGAACCATCTTCTAGTAGTAATAAATAGTTCCAAATAGGCGGTGGCAAAAGAAGCAGATGACCTGAGGGAATGCTCTTCTTAGTTCTTTCTTGCCATGCAGTTTGTTTCTGATGGTCAGAAGAAGTGAAGGACGCCCTTCTGGAAGGCATCCCTCTGGAGCAGAGAGGCAGGAGAAGGGCCAGATCCACCACCATTGCTAACGTTGTTATCATTTGTTGTAGGAGGTTGGTGATTGTTTAGATGCATACCCATGAGGAAAAGTGGGTTCTGTTGATGATGCTGCAATTGCTGGATTGGGATGATGCTGGATCCTCCACCATTGCTGTTGTTCAGGTGCATGCCCATCAGGAGAAGTTGTTGCTGCTGATCGGGGTCTTGAATGGCTTCCAATTCCTGTTCCTGCTGCTGCTGATTCTGATTGAGGTTCTGGTGGTTGGTCATGCCTGAAAGCTGTTGTGGTGGAAGTCAGGTCATGTCATGTCATAACAAGGCAAGAAATAACAGAGATGGTGAAAGCATTGTTGGAAGTGTTGTTTTTCCTGTATTGCATGCAAGTTTCCAGAACTGAACTGGTGGGGTTCTTGTGTCTGTTTTTAACTTTTGTTGATTGCTAATTGTTACCTCATTTTCCATCAGCAGGTTTTCTGTAGGGAGGGAGATTTCCTGCACAAAATGAAAGGGGGCTTTATGGAGTTAGAAGCAAATTGGAAGAGCAAAGCACCTATTGAGGTATGATCATGGATTCTCCGAAGTTTAGTTTACTACTAGCCTTATTTGCTTTGAAAACCTTTAGAATCTAGTTAATTGAAGCAAGATAGTATGCAGTATGCCAGTATATAAGAGAAAATAGTATAAGAAGTTGCTTCAGGGGAAAAAGGAAACTTGCACCTTTTTGCAGTTCTTAGATCACAACACTACAATAATTAGAACCCTATTTCTTTTTTCCCTTGCTTCCGATTGCATGGGGAAAATGCTTATACAACACTACTTGCAAAATCAACTGTGGGGAATATAACTTGATCTTAACATCAATTCCATTTTCCTTATTTTTACTTTCATTTCTATCCTTATGACCTTCATTCATTAGGATTTCACAAAGGACCAAATTATCTATGCCCCACTTGCTCTCTCGCTTACACAGAGGACCACCTCCCTTTCCTTTCCCATGATTACACCAAAAACATAAATATGGCGTAGGGTTAAAAACTTAAAATCCATAGCTATGTTTCTATTCTCTGCAAATCTCATATTCAACGTTGTTTCTCTCGTATGCATAGAAACTCAAAACCCTAGTCATAGTCCCTCAAGATCTACATTCGTCAAGTCACCTACCACATTTCATGACAATTTCTTTCTACTTCCGGAACTCAGAAGCTCTTTCAAGGCTTTAATATGCATAATCAGAACAAAACTTTACTGTTCTTGTTTCCAGTTTTCTTTTAATGAATTCTTTGTGGTTGGTGTACCTGATACAACATATGCATAACAAGAAAAGACTTATTGAGGGGCAATGTCTAAAAAGAAAATATAACTAAAGCGAGAAGTGTATGGATACCTGCTGCTGAAGGCTTGAAACGGCTTCAATCATTAGCTCCGTCTACAGAAGACAGTCAAATAATTTTAAAAACGATGTTTGACATCACATTGGAACATTTCAATAGACAGGATAAACAAATATGACAACTGGAAGTCACAGAGTAGGCACAGAGAAGAAAGATAGGTGTTTCATTTTTGAATTAGGATGAACCAATAGCTTTAGGAAGAAGTACAATCTAAAGCAGGGACTGCAGGGTGCTTTCTCAATCACTGTCTTATTCCTCATTGCCTTATTTGATTACGCCATAGCTTTGGAGCTCCTAGCTAGACAGAGGGATATAAGTAAAATCGTTGAACCTATTCTAAACTCTAAAGCAAGTTTCCTAGAAAAAGGCATACTAGATTTGTGCTTGAAAACTGACCTTTCGAACTTGGGCCTCCCTGAGCAAGGACTGCAGGTTCCTCTCTAGTTGCATGACTTGAGTAGAATCTAGCTGCTCAACAGTCTTTGCTTCCACGTGCCTGCACAAAGTATCTGCAGATTAGGAACATATAGTTGTAGTCACAATACAAAGAAGTCTTGTAGGTTTGGCATGATGGTTACTTCTGAACATTCTGCAGCAAGTCAGGACCAGCCTCGGGAGACCTGCATGCTGACAGCTGCTTCTGCAGGATTAGACAAAGTGAAAGGATGAGAAATTGGCAATGAAAAATTGTGAATCTTAGATACTCCTACTATGCCATGCTAGACCGAAAACAGTTGGGGAAGTTTCACTGAATGGAATCTAGAAACTAGGCCTATCTAAGGTTTTGTCCTCACAAGAATCAGCCGAGGCTTTCTGCTTGTGTTTGATATCCTGATAAACCTGATCCTCATGATTTTCAGAGTAGCAGGAAGAAGGTTCATAGTAAGCAGCAATAACTGAAGTGACCTATAAATAGTAGTACAACCATGTAGTCGGTCTAGGGTTAAAGATGGGAAATATAAAGCGAGTGGCCTACCAAGAGTTCAAATTTTGGAGTCATTTCTCGGCTTATTCAAGTATGGATTGCTCTTAACGATAATGAGAGATAAAAACATCCAATTCACCACAGTTCAATCCTGGATAAAAAAATATCTATAACACAAATTATCATCCATGAAAAGAAAAAATAAAGGAAAAATATGACATGGATTATCAAAATGGCATCCCTGGGGGTTTATGAATTATGACAATAAAGAAAGAGGACCACCCGCTTCCAAAGGATTCACCTTTTGTGCAAAAAAGGAATCCAGAATGCGGAGCAGGGAAGCACCAAACCCAGGCAAACCATTTTATGGTCCTTTTCTCATGGACCGTTCATTCATGAGGGATTTATCTAGGTGACTAAGAATCTAATCTATCATTTTGGTGAAGCAAAAGTAAATGAGCAATTTGTCTAACCTACAACCCATAGAAACTCCATACCTCTCCCCCTCTCTATTCTTCATCAGTCTCTTTATGCTAAAATGGACATATAATCTCATATGTAATCCAGTATTCCAACAATTTGATATGCATTCTAATAAGAAACTACATTTTCAGTAAGAACACATAGAACAAATATCTCAATTCAATTTATCACAAAAATCAAATAGGAAACATTAAAAAGTTGGCAGCGATGACATGAATAAAGTTTTATCTTGAAGAACCTTCTTTTAGCACCATCTCTTTTGCCACTTATATGGCCGCTGATATTTGTTCTTTCAATTCTGCCTCTATTCCCTTTTGGTGCTCTTTGCTTTCCAGTCTGATAAATTTCAAAGCAGATTCTGATGTTTCTAGGGGTGAACTTCTATTTCCTCTTTTTCCATGACCCTGAACAAAATGACTCCCAACTTAACCTTTGTAGTTCGTACCTATTCATCTTTTCTGTAGATTTTCCTGTCAGTTTATTACCTCTTCATCCATGACGAAGCAGAAGTCGAGAATTTGACGTACTAGGTTTAGGGTACCGTATGGATTAATACTATGGGCACTAAGATAACATGCAAGCTACTACCCGTATTCTCATAATGATTCTCTGTGAACCAAGGAACAAACAATTTCCCAACCTTGCAAGTTTTTAGAGCAACATGCTGCAACTTTCTAGCCCAATACCCGGTTCAAGTCAGTAAACCAAGGTCCGCGCTACTCTATACAGTCACACCAAGTATGAATAAAATTAAGTTGATGGCAGTGGTTGTGTATTGAACATCTATGCGCATGATTTGCAGAAGCATTATCATCTAGGACTAGGAGTTCAATACTATCTAAAAAGGATAAAGGGATCTGGAAAGAAACCTCAGTCCCATTTGTATGCTCATTAACTGCAGCATCTGCATCTTTGTGAGCCTGGTAGCGCTGGATGACTCTCTCTAAACTGTATATCAGATCAAGCAATAGTGATAGTAAGACTTCAAACATAGGGCAAAAGGTCGTGGAAATGTTAGCTAAGCAAGGAGATGCTCCCTGACAGTTAGTAGATACAGAAGCAGATTAGCTGCATTCCTGAGGGAGTTCTGGTAACAGTTAACATCAGATTGAACTGGACTTGTTGGCCTATAATTCTGATACAAAATATTCTTCGAGCTAGGAAGTTTTGATCAAAACAACACGCTCACAGTCCACATGACATGGAGCAAACATCAATATTCGGCTGAACAGTTAGAATAAAGAGCAAACCAACAAAAGAAACATGCACATGCTGCACCAGAAATGAAGCAACATCCAGGTCTGACATAACTCTTAGCAAGAAGGCTGCCAAGTGCGACTGAGACGGCCGAAACTTGGAACCAAACTGCTTGATGCAACTTCCACAAAAGAGCAAATAAGCAGACAAACAAAGATCAACAATGTGGATTTCAAGCGTTCAACATCGGTGTCAATGCGCTGCTATATTTGTTTGCTTAACTACATTTTGCGTGACATTAGTTCTTCCTTAGAACTTAAACATAGAGCATATAGTCAACATGCTACTAGCTGGTGCATTGGTATGTACCTCTGGCTCACATGCTTTCTCCGGACCGACCTAATGTTATCTTTCCAGCTGTGTATAGCTATGATTATGAGTAGTGAGGCTATAGCTATGATTAATGGTAGTGAGGCTCTTTCCTCTAAGTATGATCCTTCTGACTTGTGGAACACTGTGGTATCTACGGTGATTTTGTTAAGTTGAGTAGTTGTGATGACTTATGTTCGTCATATCCTCTTAAGGGATATGAGTCATATGGCTACTCGGTTTCACACACTTCATGGTGTTGGTGACCCTAGTTCGAAACATGCAACTCAAAGTGGACATGCTATCAGCCTAATAGACACGAGGTCTATGATGCTCACATGGAGAATAGATCCTTCGATGGAACATGTCTCCCTTGTCTTATGATGCTAGGGGCTATTAGGTTTGTTTCATTTGTTAAACATGATGCATCCAATGATAAAAAAAGGCTCATTAGTTAGTGAAACACAAATCTAATTGGCGATAGGGCACTAGCCTTGTAAAGTTGTAATCAAGGGAGGGTGCCACACTAATAGTATAGTTTGAGAAGCTAGTGGTGACCCATGGAGATCTAACCCTACTTGGCTCATACTTTTGTCTCCACAGTTATTGGGATACTTGATTATGTTCCAGTTAGACCTATAGCTAGATTTGTAAATAACAAAGCCTTTAGTGCTATGAACATTTAATGTTTCTATGATATTTCATATACTCATAAATATTCTAGCTTAACTATCCCTTCCAGAATGCACTCTTAGCGTTGGCACCAACACCGAGTTACTATGATTTCTTTGGTGGAACTGCTTAGTGTAGACTGCTAGCAATGGTGCTTACCTTTCTCCTCTTAGACAAGTAAAAAGTGATTGTGGCATTTATAGCATGGATGACTTTAATTATTAAGGAGACTGTTCCCGACTTAATCGAGCTTATAGATATAACAATAACGTCCCTATAGAAAGGTGTAGGTGAGGGATCGAAGGCATTCTCATCATAGATGCCCTTATCTAGTTGCAGAAGGCAAAATGGCTCCCATCCTAATGATGTTCTTGCTTGGCTTATGATGTTTTTACTTAGTGATTCGATATCTTAAAGGGATGACCATTCAGCCAGCACTCCTAACGATAAGTTCTGAAGAATCCTTGTTGAAGTGAGTTGTCTCTATGCTCATTTAGTATCATCTACTATATTGACATCTTTCAGTCATTTCGTGATCCTTACAAGGGTTAATGAGGAAGCTAAGTCAAGCAATTGACTAGCTCGTTCTCTACAATAGTTACCACTAACCATCGCTTCATCTCATTCTTTCTAATAGCTAATCCTTACAAGGGTTAATGAAGAAGAAACGTATGCTTGCCCTAATGTTTGTTAAGAATAAGAACATCAATGGAGAAAAGCTTCACTAAAGTGGTGATTTGGTTCATACAAAGCAATAGCAATTCTCTATGGGTGATAAAACAACGTGGAAATTATATTGTAGTAATATGATGGCTTCCTAGTGAAAATGAGAAAGAATCTCAAAATGATACACGAAAAGGCGATAGATTTATTCATGGCTCTACATTGACAAAGCTTATGTCGTTCTCAATGTACTCTTGTAGTTGTCTTATATCATCGATTTGAGTTAGGCAAAACAAGGACCTAGCCTAAACGAGTTGTGAAAGCTCTAGATTAGTGCGTATAATAACTAATGGAAGATTAGGAGGAATAGAAACTTGAGCTAGACAAGCTTATAACACAAGATAACCCTAGGGAGATGAAGCGTTAGTTATCATAGGTGATATCAAGAGAAAGTAAACTAGAGACTAATTGAATTGCTTCTCGCTATCATAGACCTATATGGAGACCAAATTGGTACTAATTAGGTTTTGTTCCAAATTTAATATCGATTGTGACAAAGAAGGAAGTGTGATAGGAGTCCTATTCATCAAACCACCCTTTATAAGTGTATAAAAGACATCCTTGAATATTGTAAAGGTGGTATATTCTTAAGACGATACTCAACCATTGCATATACTCTTCAGGATCGGGAGAATGGCAATGCGTGGAAAGGAAAGCACATACAAGTTTTAAAGATGGATGTTTCAAGTTTGTGGACCACATGTGCTATCAAAGAATACCTAGAAAGATGCAAAGCTCTTGGGGTTTATGATAAAACGTCATAGAGTCACAATTGAAGTTTGTGGAGAGTACTTAGCCTATACAAATCTAAGTACGAACCACCTAACTTCTCCTCATTGACGGTGATAAGCTAAAGAAAGAAGTACATGGACTACGAAACTAACCCCAATGACATAATTTCCAATTCAACCTCCCTTGTGTGTCAAGGGTTGAACAAAAAGTGTATGGTGAAAGCATATTACACGATTTACTACCCACGTCTTAGCATGTTATGTGAGTTATTTCACTTGAAATACAACATAGAAATTGACAAAAGTAGCAATATTAAGAGTTTGTGCAAAGGTTATGACACTAAGGCTAAATAAGAAACAACGGATTTGTGAAGCCTGAAGATCCCTAAAAGGACAATGGTGCTTCCTCAACAGTGTTCTAGAACTGTAAGTTAACTTATGATAATAATTGATTTGTGAAGCCTAATGATCCCTAAAGGATAATGGTGTTTCCTCAAGAGTGTTCTAGAAGGGTAAGCTAACTTATGGATGTTATTGATGCCTCCTTCATAAGTCAATCATGTAAAGTTAGTGTAATGATCTAGGAAAGGCAATTGTGAAGCCTAATGATCCCTAAAGGATATTGGTGCTTCCTCAAGAGTGAAGCCTAATGATCTAAGTACGAACCACCTAACTTCTCTTCATTGACGGTGATAAGCTAAAGGAAGAAGTACATGGACTATGAAACTAACCCCAATGACATAATTTTCAATTCAACCTCCCTTGTGTGTCAAGGGTTGAACAAAAAGTGTATGGTGAAAGCATATTGCACGATTTACTACCCACGTCTTAGCATGTTATGTGAGTTATGTTCACTTGAAATACAACATAGAAATTGACAAAGTAGCAATATTAAGAGTTTGTGCAAAGGTTATGACACTAAGGCTAAATAAGAAACAACGGATTTGTGAAGCCTGAAGATCCCTAAAAGGACAATGGTGCTTCCTCAACAGTGTTCTAGAAGTGTAAGTTAACTTATGATAATAGTTGATTTGTGAAGCCTAATGATCCCTAAAGGATAATGGTGCTTCCTCAAGAGTGTTATAGAAGGGTAAGCTAACTTATGGATGTTATTGATGCCTCCTTCATCGATCAATCATGTAAAGTTAGTGTAATGATCTAGGAAAGGCAACTCTGAAGCCTAATGATCCCTAAAGGATAATGGTCCTTCCTCAAGAGTGTTCTAGAAGGGTAAGCTAACTTATGGATGTTATTGATGCCTCCTTCATCTGTCAATCATGTAAAGTTAGTGTAATGATCTAGGAAAGGCAATGGTGCCTTCTCGAGAGCATTTTCAGAGGTAGGCGAAAAGAAGGTAATGTACATGAATGCATGTCGACGTCTTTATCACCCCTCAATGATATAAAAATCATTTGCGTCGTCAATTGGTCTCGGTTCAAAGGTTAAGGTCGGATGGATGATAGATAATTTGTTGGATCATGTAGTCTAGACACTAAGGCCAAACGAGTGGTAACAAGATTAAGGCAAGTGTGCAAAAATCAGAAAACGGTTATGATACCGTTTGCTTGATTCTATCTGTCCTTGTAACTTGTAAAACGCTAAATCATGACATAAGAGCCAGGACAGAGTTCAACCAAATTCTTGACACTACCTTTGTTGGGCTTAAGCTTATTCTGCCTTTTTTTCACTTTGTACCTAAAAAGGCAATAATTTAATTGACCCTTCCTCCGGCCCAAAAGACACCGTGGAAACACAAACATGACCTTTCATTCAAATGCAATCCAGACATGTTATGTAAAAGGCATTTGACAGCATGAGTCCAAGAAATAAAGCAACAGGATGACCATGCGACGGATCAAGGCCTAGTTTACGTAGTTGGACATGCATGCAGGGGCCTTTGGTGTTCTGCAAATCTCTCTTACAGTCTCCTAGAGTTGAAAGATTTAACAACTTAATATTATGGGTCCATAACGTGCAAAAATAGAAACCAAGTTTTATACCCAGTCAAAATCATGTTTTAAATTTAAAAATATTATATTTTTATACTTCTAATTCATCCAAACGCGCCTACGTAGAATCTCGCTTTTCACTTTTCACTTACTAATATAGTCAAAATCACGCTTTCAAACTTAAAAGCTTACGCTTTTACACATCAAAGCCGAAACGCTTCTACACAGAGTGATGTTTTTGACGACTGCATTGCCAACAAATTGGTAGCGTGTGTTGTTAAGAAAATATAAAGCAAGAGGCGTTTCAATCCAAAGAGCGATCCAATTTAGTTTTGCATTGCCAACAAATTGATAGCGTGTATTGGTAAAAATATATGCAACAAGAGGCGTTTCAATCCAAAGAGCGATCCAATTTAGTTTTGCTTTTACTTAACTCGTGCAGGTAGAATACCTCATTTGTGGACCATTAATTAAAACATGAAGCATAGAACATAGCCATATTGGATCACATTTATGGTATGGTATACATTAGATCTTGGGTGCATATAAAGTAAGTTTGTTTTTACTAAACCTGGCTTGTAATAAAAAAAATGAAAACACAATCATTTGCGATATCTTGAGGATTCAACGCTCATGCCAAGAATACAACATACATGGGTAAAAGAAAGTAGAGAGAGATAAAAGCAATAACTAACTTGTACATGGAATCCATGAAGCACCAAGAAGACGAAAGAAGACCCAACTTACATGGCATTTGAAGGAAGGATGTGAACATCAAAATGAAAACAAAGTCTAGATAAGACTTTAGGAGTCCAAAACGTGAGATGCAGCTACGAGGGGCCTCGAACCAGCTAATCCCGAGATGCAGGAACGGCTACACCGCAGAGAGACTCCTCTCTCTAAAGGTTCTGAAACAAAGTTAAATTAACAGCTAGCAAGGTGGCAGGCATTGAGAGAGGGGAAAATTAAACTACTAGCTAAAGCAGTACAATACACGGCAAGGGAGATGACAATAATGAAATAAAAGCTTGCTCTTCATTTTTCTCAACCCCAACGCAGGTGTTTAATTAGATCACCATGCACAACAAAACATGTTTTTTGTTTTCTTCTAACGAGAGAAAATGGTATTTGTTTAGATGCATGATAAGTTAAATAGCTAGTCCCATTTCATCAAAGAATACCAGGCTAACAATTCACACGTCAAGTCGTATCTGTAGCTTGGGATTGAAGGAAAGATGAGGTGGCTTTACGACTCATTGAGCCTCATGTTGGGTTAGATCTTATTATGTTCCCATGATTTAAGCATTTTATCAAAGACAGCCAAAGCAACCAGTTGGTGGCCTAGAAGATGCGAATTGGAGCAAAGATTGTATTGTCAGTTACATAAGCATATTATAAAAAAATAAAATAAAAAACAAGCGAGGGTCTCACAATTTGTTAACTTTCTCTAGAATTGAATGATTGTGAAATGAATGGGCATTGTTACGATTTGTTGATCATTTTTTAAAATAGATGGAATTATTAAAACATGCGAATCATGGGAAGGTAGTAAAAGCTAAGCTCAAGATTTTGAACATATTATTAGAATATTATTAGAGTTTGATAATACACCATAGGTCCTTCGGAGAGGACCATCTATAGCATCATTTTTTCCAACAACTACCACGGTAAGAGTTCACTAGAGGGGATGGTGCTCTAGATTCTTTTATAACTCCAACCATTCATGGTGCTCTAGATGCAAAAATGTTCAGCCTAAGAATTGGATTGACATTTGAGTTCTAAAATTTGAAGTTTTGAATTGGTAACATATTTAGGGCTCAAGCTTGAGGAGGAAACAAACTTTTGTGTCATAGCGAAGTTTCAAATATACAACTTACATATGGAAGATAATTTACGAGATCCATAGAGGATTAGAGATAATAAAAGTTTGTAAGTGTGCTAGCTAGGGTTGAAGTTAGCAATATCGAGATTGAACTAATATGAAATACCCAACCCGAGGCGTTCACTCAGGGAGCAAACTTAATATCCTATTTCAAACTTTAAGAATGAGAACTTAATCCATGTTTCTAGGGTTAGGCCGTTGAGATGCCTTTTGCTTAACCTAAAAAACAAACTCACCTTAATCGAGTTCAACACTTTGATGAAGTGGCTTTAATCTAATCGCATTCTTATAAACTTGATCGATGTGCTTTTCATTCTGCCTTAGAGTCCAAGTCTTTCACTAACCTACAAGGCTGAGTTCACTACTTGAGCTCGACATCCTAATCATCTCTAACAAGTGCCCTTTTGGCCCTTTCAATTTCGATACATGGATCTAATATCAACTCCCTACTAAATGTAAACCCGAGATAGGAGAATGATAATCTCCTAAACATGAATCATAATGAAGCCTTACCTCCTAGCCAAGTTCTATCTATAAGCATCACCCTAAGTCAAGGAGGGAGAAATGACACACCAAAGCCGAAAAGCTAGCATTGCCTTACATAGAAAGTCAATAGCAACTCCAAAGCCGGTCCTGATGTGCTCAACCTTCGTCAGCACAGCCTGGAGGCCTTTTCAAGTGTCAAGGGTGGGCAACCACAGATGAGACAGCGCGTGCCCCGCACCCAAAAGGGAGCAAGCTCGCAAACTACACTGCCACGTAGGACAAAAGATTTCCTAGCATTCGTTTGAGGCAATTGGAGCCGCATGTTTAGGTCCCACATAAAATATATATGTAGACATGGGGACTGGGGAGAGACATAATTGACTGTCTTCCCCGTAAGCCTACACACTCGACCTTTCCTCTTCTTTGACAAAATCGTTTTCAAAACTGTTTTGCATTGGACTATAGAACTGGCTTCTTTTTGCATATAAATAATTGGCGCAAGCCCCATAAAAAAAATTATTAATCGATCTAGGCAAGGGAAGATAAACCCAAAAGTAGCTAACATAAGAAGTCTCCAGTTAGCCAGTTACAAAAACCACTATTGATCAAATGATTGGTATGAAAGATAATTGTGGAGAGAGGCATTTCATTCAGTTTTATTCTACTTTTTTATCCAAGCAATCATGAGATCATGTCTAGTGATGGTCAATGTTATTGTATGATATGTTTTCATTGTTTTTTACTATACGATTCAAATGATCAAGCAAACATATCTCAATGTTATTGTATGGTATGTTTTCGTTGTGTTTGACTATGCGATTCAAATGATCACGAAATCATATCTAGTGGCAATCAAGAGCATTGTCCCGTGTCAAAGAACTATATAATTTGACAACACAAAAGCACGATTATAGTGTGCATTTCTCAATGAACTTACTCCTTTTACCACGGTATTGCCCTTCCTGTTTTATTACAATCATATATGCACGGTAATCAATATAATTGGAGGAAACTCAAAGAATTATATCTAAAAGTTTCCCCTAAAGGCTAGGTCAGGAGACGATCAACTTTCACCAATATCTCATGGCATAAGTTTCAGTCTCTTTGATATTGGAACTCGTCAGCAATTCATTGGAAGATCAACCGTTTCTAAGCGTGCTAGTTCTCTACATCTCTCTAGCAAGCTATGCTTCCTCTATGCCCGACTTGAATCGGTAATTTTTGTAGCATCTACAACTACATGCATTTTTACTCGGTCTAAAGTCTAAGCGCAGCTTCCACCTTCCAAATTGGAAGACGAGCTTACCTAATCGGAGCGTTTTCCAGACCAAAAGGATAGAGAGGCGCAGGAAGCGTAAATCGCAAAGCAAGGAATTGAAAGAGCAGGAAGACTAGCAGTAATTAATCGGCGCAGCGGAAGAAATTATATGAAAAGCTCAAAATTACGACGGAAGAGAAGAGGGCGTACCTTTCACCGCCTGAGAATTCGTAGAGCTTGCCGCCGGCTGAGAAGACGATAACGGCGACCTCGACGTCGCACAGCACCGAGAGCTCCCGAGCTTTCTTGAGCAGGCCGCGCTTCCGCTTCGAGAAGGTCACCTGACGAGTGCTCTTATCCTCGATTGGGCGCATCTCCACCTTGCCTCTCCCCATTGCGTTCCCGCTGACGACCGGGCGACGAGGCTTCACTTTGCGTTTCTTCCTTCCAATCTTCTCTCCTCGGTTACCTCCAACCGAAGGGAGAGAGGAGAATTCGAATTTATTGTATGCTTTATTGCGGCGAGCGGTGGGAGTTTTGGGAGCTTAATTTCTTGATTTCTGGGATTGAGTAGAAGGGAGGGAAAAGCCAACTGGCGGAGTCCCAAATCGGCGGTGCTACTACAAGTAGCCGGACGAAAGTAGTGAGTCAGTACTCGGTGACCTAGGTAACTGCACTTTTCGAGCACGGCAAGAATAAAATGAGACATATTAAAATAAATTGAAGCTGATTTGTGGGGGAAAAGCGGTCAAAAGGTAAATTAAAATGCAAAGGAAAATTGGCCTAAACATTCTTGTATGTTTTTCCTTGTTCCATAAATCTCTCTGAGTCTCAAGTGATGAATTCTTTCTATGAACAATAAGCACTCTAATGAATGTCTAGAGAATAATGGTGGAATTTAGAGTACTTGTTATCCCAAAATACTACTATAATCCAATATGTATGTATCCATTTACGCCCTATATATTAGTTTTTATATGAAAATTCGTATAAATCTTTTGTCTTAATCATCTGACATTTCCCTCGCCCTTTTAAGGGTGTCTTCAAAGTGATAATTCGCTGAAAGCCTGAATCTAGGATCTATCTTAAGTAGAGTTCGATTTTCTAACTATTCAGACCACAATCTTGTTGGTGTAACGTATTATAAGAGCGAGTATAGATGAATCACAAGACCCTTGATATTGCTTCACAAGTTGCGGTAACCTCCGTTTACCATCCATCATCCACTCAGGTTGATTGGTGGTAATTAAAGTGTTATCGGTGTTTCACAAAACACCATATTCTGATCATTTCTAGAAAACAGATATTTAACTAGTCAACTCAAATTTTGTTTGTTTTATGCTAGACATTATAAATTGCGTCTTGTTAATTGGGTCACCAATGTAATATACCGGAGATCTTCCACCTAACTAGATTCTACCACAATACTCTCTATAGCATTGATTTGGCTTTCAGTTTGCTTTGCTAGTGGCGAACTAGTTTGTCACTCAAACAATTCACTAAACAAAAGAACCAAGCATAACAAAAAAGCATTGGTTGCAATATGAATAAACATTAAGCATTCCTTACTCTGTTTGGGCAGACCGGCTCCTTCATAGTTAGATGGTGTACCTCTAGACTTATTAAAGGCATAAAAGAGATTGCCTTCTTTGTAATGGAAAGCAACTGTACCATAAAGAAGGCTTTAATAGGAGTATCCACCTCCACTTGAAGTTCCAATGGCAGAAACTTCCACTACCACTAGAATCATAGGTGGCACTTGCAGATGCTTGGAATCATACGGTCTTAATCAGGATAAAACTTTGAATGGAAAATGTAGTGTGAAATAGTTCTTTATTTTTCTTCGTTATATTTCTTAGTATTGACTTACCGAATCGATTAAAATAGAAATTTCGAACTTTTTTGTATAAATAACACTTAAATGCACTAAATCGCAAAAATGGCCAAAGGGAAAATAGGAAATATGTGAAACAACAAATGCATCTCGTTCGCAACCTAATAATTTAAGACGTCCAATTTCTAATCAGACAACTATGTCACAAGTTGCAAACTCTTTCGTTCATTAAGTAGGGCGTACGAATTATGAACAATTGACACTACAAAGGCTGAAAAGAAAAGTTCAGGTGCATATGCAACGGGACCTAATATGTTCTAGAGCGAGTATAAAATATGTGGTGTGCGGTGCTACTAGCAAGTTGGAGCATATAAATGGGTCATTTTCGTCTTTTCAGCTTTTTCCTTAACCTTTTGTTTCTTGGGCAAGAGAGTTCCACTCCACTAGGATAGAATAGACTCATACATCCCTGGACGATGTTTCGATTTGTTCGTAATCGAGGAATAATGGACTCTGTGGCCCAATAGCATAAGATTGGTCATGGTACCTTTTATGGGCCTTGGATGATTGGCCCAATATCCCAAATATTAAGGACTCCACGCCCAATTACTTATATATAACCTTTTTTACAATGAATATTTCTATATCAATATATATTCTCACCAAAAGCTTCAATTTTAATCAGAATTGATACCTAGAATTTTCGGCCATGAATTTATAGTCTTATTGATTACGCACTTGCAAAGAACTATACCATTTACCTTACGCTACACAATCGAATCTAGTACCATACCACCCCCTCTAAGACTTCAAATCATTCCCAACTCAAATCAAAATGGCATATCCCACTATAGCTAATTAGTGTAATATCAAATGTACCTATTGTTTTATTCAAATAGTTTTCTACGTAATCTATACTGATCCGGTCAAAAAAGAAGACACATACCCATGGTCAAATCCAACCTCCCAACGAACCTAACCAAACAATACTAAAATAAAATCACCCATCAAATGGGTTAAAATTTTGTATATCTCCCTCTATATAATTTCTTAATTGTTTTTAATTTTGATAATATGAATTCCAAATGTTACAAGACACAAATTGATTACTTGTCTCAAATTGATTACTTGTCTCATTTTATAAAGTGGGTAATTTATAAAAGAATCAATTCAAATTATCTGCCTAATCCCATACAATTGGAATTGACTAACAACAAATTAAATTGAAATTCTCCAAATCAAATTGATTTATCCCAATTTTCTCCTTACAAACATGTTAATTTGGTACGACTGTATTTCATCTTATACAATTCTCGTTCAACCCCATCGATGCAATTACCAGCTGGCAAAAAGTTAAACAGTGCATACATAAAGCAAACAGTGACCAAAAGATATTTCCTCAAAAAAGGCAACCAGAAAGAATAAAGTAGCTAGAGATATTTCCACTACGAAAATGGCGATCGCGCGAATTAAAACTCGGCAAATTGCGAACTGAAACAGCTCAGAAACTAAAACAATTCAGGAATCGACGAAGAGCACGATTCGGTGAACTCCTCAATCAAATGATCAACCAGATGGACGAGAAAATTAAAGAGAAGAGCGGGGCGTACCTTTCACCGCCGGGGATCTCGTACGCAGCGAACCGGTGCCGGAGAAGAAGACGGCGACGGCGACGGCGACGGCGGGGGACCTCCATCTGCACCGGCGCAGCATCGATCGCTCTCGGCGAGCTTTCCGAGCGGAACGGCACCGCGATTGATCGCAACAGTCATTTCTATGAGGGATTGAGAGGAGATTTCGGAGAGATGAGAAAGATATTTTTATCTTTCCTTATATAATTTTTTTTTCCATGGCGGCAGGATATTTCATTAAAAATTCATAATATAGAGAATTTGTTCAATAAATTACTCATTTTTCACGAAAAAAGTTGCCTTTATTACTAATTGGACTGAAATTTTTTGGTGCAAGTAGTATGTAGCATGCATCTTTTATGAACGCAGGTGTGTTCTTCAGCTTAACATTTCTGATTTTATCGGTTCTGTTGAATGTTTTGGCTATGCTAATATTTACATTTTAATGTTGAGAAGTTCGAAAATGATTACAAATCAGGATTAAATCATACTAATTGTACTTATAGTATTATATTTAACTGGTATAATCGATAGATTAATACGTAATGATTTTGATAATAAGGATTTGGTTTGAGTTAAGTGAAAGTACATGTTCGCATACTTTTTTTTTTGTTACATAATTTTGTTTACATGTTCTTAACTATGGCTAGAATCATATATCTTAATTATTAAAAGAATGTTTACTCTGTTTCACAAACTAATAGAAACAAAACAAAACAAAAATATAGGAGTTCCATTTACGGGCCAAGCAGCCTAGTTATTCTGCTAACTTGAAGATTCGTTAGTATATACTAACTAATATCCAAAATGTATGAACTAATATCCAGGTCTGCTAAGTATCTAGATAGCACATACTAGTATTCAAAACATTACAAACTAGTATCCAAATAGCAGATATCAACTAATATCCACAATCAACCAACTAGTATTCAATATGGATGCTCTTATGGGTTATCTGAATACTCTTATGTGTTATCCGGATACTAATTATGTGTTGTTTAGATACTATTCTATGTTGTCTATATATTAGTTTGTGAATTTTGGATAATAGTTGATTCATGGTAGATATCAGTTAGCAAACTTTGAATACTAGTATGTGCTCTCTATATACTTTAGTATTTGGATATTAGTTCATGTATTTTGGATATTAGTTAGTATATGCTAACGAATCTTCAAGTTAGCAGATTAACTTTTCTCGGGGCCAAGAGCCCAGCAATCAATCCATTCTGGGAAAGAGAAAATATCTTGACGCACTAAAATATCTTGCAAACAATCTCAATTTATAATGATACCATTTCATTGTCTGGGAAGGGAAAATAAAAATATTACGGGCAGAAAACATGTGGCGAGTAGACCACACACCATGGCTTTAAATAATTGGGCCTCGATCGACATTTCCATGCTGGACAGATCATAGCCACAAAACTGATACGGTCACAGTCTCACAGAGCGAGAGTCACAGGGGAATGGGCCATGGCCCAAATGGGCTACATACTGGAGTCTTTGTAAGTAATGAATTAAAAGGTCAGGTACCGTAACTTGCACTCTTAGGTTGACCTTATATAGTATAAGGTCGATCTAATATGCCGTTTCAGTTTTGTGAGGTTTAACGACACAGTTGATCTTTTATAGCAAATGGTCGATCTCGTGGGAAGCACATGGATGACATATACGACTACATGGGCCAGATTTCCACCCAGGTTACTGGCATGTACGACTACATGGGGCAAATGACTACACAGATGAGCACACTGCAGGTGACCGTGAATGAGATGCGAGATGAGTTTCGATCTTTCAGTGGAAGATACATGCATGTCACCATAAGTCCGTAACATCAGACTACCATAATGCTAGCAACACTAATGAAGAAAATGTGGACGAGGGAGAGAGGGGACAGGAGTAGGAACTCGACGATTTTAGATTGTGTGTTTTTTATTAAGTGTTAAAAACGATTGTGGATTGATATTATGTGGTTTTAGATTTTAGTTATGTGTGAACAATTATGATTTGTGTTTTATTGTATTTCTTGTTACTTTGTTTAGTTGTTATGTTATGAAATTATGAGTCCTTGTTATCATTATTTATGACTGATTCTGTTGGTTTGAAATATAATTTGTACGAGCAAAAGAACCACCTACATCGCTTCCCAAAGAGGTTGATCATTTGCTATAAAAGGTCAACCGCGTCGTTGAACCTCACAAAACT